TAAATAAATATTAATACTCTCCTCTCTCTCTCTCTCGTCCATTCTTTCTTCTCAATCCAGCCATTTCTCTTAAATGTGAGATACAACTTATCCACACATTATGATAACAAGAATAACTATTACCTGGTTTCGTAGGGTTCACCCTTTATATTGGTGAAGATATGTCAATGATGCCCTTTATATCTTGCTAATTATTATTGATTTTGAATTTCAGAAGTAAATAGATATATAAAATACTAAATTGAAAGTGAAGATAGGTACAACTTTATATTTATTTAATTCTTAATTTTGGAAATAAAATAAAAGTCCATGATGTTCTCAATTGTATTTTTCCGTCTAGAAGAATTCCCAATGCAATCTATAATCGTGATGACATGATTAACCTAATTAACGGCTTTAATCTGTTTTCAGTATGGGAGTTTCCTTAAAGAGCCTAATTAGTACAGATCTCTTTATTAGAACCACTGCTTTATCAAAACAATATTTCACCCATTTCACTCTTTTTATTAGTTTAATTTTGGATAAGCACGAACAAATAATTTTTTATTCAAACTTTTAAAACCATAAGCCACACCCTTACATCCTTCGTACTATAAAAACTAAATCCTAACAATATATCTGGATACATATTGTACCCAGGTACATAGTTAGGATTGGACTTTTTTAAAGAACGGACTGAGTACCTAATAAGCAATTGAACAACGAAGTGAACGTAGCTCCACTGGTTGGGTTCCTTATTGTGGAATGTGTCCAACGGTTTCAAGTTTTAAATTTAACACGAGTGATCGTATTTACGACTAATTATTCTTTTAGTGGTAGACGAGATGAGGCACCGTGATGACTTCCTCATCTCAAGATATACTAGTCCAGTATTTCGGATGTGCTCATAGGAATAGGGTGTATATTTGTTCATTCATAGGGTGTGCATTTAAATTGTGTTTTTTAAAAAAAAAAGAAATAAGCCACTGAACAGATTGTTTAAGTAACTTTCTTTAACCTTTATGGATTGGATTATAAATAATATAATACTCCCTCCGTTTCAGCTTGTAAGACGTTTTGACTTTGATCAAAGACAAATTGTTTTAAGTTTGACTAAGTTTATAAACAAATATAGTAATATTTATAATACTAAATTAGTTTCATCAAATCAATTTGTAAGACGTTTTGGCTTTGATCAAAGTCAAATTGTTTTAAGTTTGACTAAGTTTATAAACAAATATAGTAATATTTATAATACTAAATTAGTTTCATCAAATCAATAAATTGAATATATTTTCATAATAAATTTTTTGTCTTGGTTGAAAATGTTACTATTTTTTTTACAAACTTAGTCAAATTTAAAGTAGTTTAACTTTAACCAATGTCAAAACATCTTATAACATGAAACGGAGGGAGTACAACTGTTATAAAAACTAGGAAGGTAGCCCGCGCATACGCGCGGGCATGTTGTTTAATCTTGTTTGAACTTTTATTACGAATGTTTATGTGTGGATCATATTTTTGAAAAAAATTTTGTCTCTATTTGAAATGTATGTTCGTTAATAACTGGTTTGGGCGTATTACTTGAAAATGTATATCCTCAAATTTATTAGAAAAAATATGTCACAATAATGGAGTTAGTTCATATCTATTTGTATTATGTGTGATTCTTTCTTTTAAATTTTTGGAGTTTCCCAACTTTATATAACTTTTTTTATTGTGTATGTTATAGATGACTTAAAGTAACATTTTAATTTTACTATATATTAATGAAAGATATTTATTATTAAAAATATAGCTGATGATACTACTTCATCTAATTAAACATAGACTTATATTACCACCGTCACATAAATCGAAGGAGTTAACTTTTATCCCAAAATAATAGAAGAATTTATATGTAACTGAGAGAAAGTGATTTTTTTTAAATACTATCACGATAATCCAAAGTACGGTATCATACTTTGACAAATATCTATAGGGTAGTGCATGTTAGTTCAGTGTCCGTTTTGTTTTCAGCACCTATTGTTCTAATCACATGAGACACCTTTAGTAATTTGGATAATACATATGTACACTTAAATTAGCGTTATATATTCGTCAAGTGGTTTCTTACACTAAAATGTGATGTGGAATTATTATCATAACATTAATTATTACATGCCGGCTCCATATTTGTGATGTATTTAGGGTTATAGATATTAATAGTTTATTTATTTAAAGGAATACAACTGAATCACAAATTAGATATATAATTTTAAAATAATTTAAAAGATAGAACGCTTAAAATCATTGATTGGATATTTTATATTTACATTTGTGTAAATTTGAAGATTATTATATTTTATCCTTAAATTGTTTTTTAGGTATTATCCTTAAATTGTAGAAAAATATTTTTTAAAGACCTCCGATTGTTTTACTTTATCATAAGTATTTTTTTTCCTTCCGTCAGACGATATGTAAGCATTATTGTTTTTTTTCAATCATAACTACGTACAGAGTACTTTTTCCGATCAACAGTTATATATTTTTCATGTATCCGTATATAGGAGAGTTGTATTATTTGTCAATAATAAATCTAATCTAATGGTGTAAAATGAAACAACTAAATTGTTTTCATTTAAATTAGCGTTGTATATTCATCAAGTGATATTTGACACCTTAAAATATGATATGAAATAAAAAATATCATAGCATTAATTATTATATATATTAGTCTTGTATGTTAAGATAGAACGAATAAAGATCATTGATGGAATATTTTATATTTATAATATAAATTTAGTTTAACTACGTATATTTGCATAAATTTGTAGAGCAATATATTTATCTTCAAATAGTAGATAATACTAATTCAAAAAGACCATCGATCTTTTTCCAATGATACATATTTTTTTATTGTTTTTATAGTAAGTGATTTTGAAAATACTATTTCAGAAAACCACCGTGAGTAGATTTTTCTTGGTTCCGAAGGACAGTAGGTAAACCTCGTTTCTTTTCCCAGGTCATTTGCACGTACTGACTGCTTATATTTCCCGTATACATACATACATAGAGTAATATGGTGTTTTCAAAATAAAATAAATATAATCTAATGGTCTAAAATATTGGGTTAAAAATCGACGGTGATATTTGCTTAAATTTACAGAGTAATAGCTTTTATATTTAAATAGTAGAATACTCCATTTTTAAAGATAATTGATTTTTTCAATGGTACTATGTATGTATATTTTTTTAGCTTTATTGTTTTCTATAGTAAGTCTGTGCATAGTTTTTTTTTTTATAAACAGTAGGTAAGATTGATTGTTTTTTAGTCTTATGTATGTACGTACCTATATGGAGTATATACTTTTGTTTTTGTTTTCTTTTTCTGGTGAACAGTAAGGTATTAGTTTATTTTTAAATAAAATACATCTAATCTAACCGAATGGTCCAAATTATTGGGTCCACTTATTTAAGTGAAAAACGACGATAAGATTATGTGATTTCTTTCTTTTTCTAGCCTAACAGTTATATATTTCTCCCGTTTACGTAGACATAGTAATAAGGTATTAGTTTTTAAAATAATATACATCTAATCTAATGGTTAAAATATTAGATTCACCCATTTAAGTTAAAATCGACAGTTATATTTGCTTAAATTTATAGAGTAATAGGTTTTATCTTTAAATAGTAGAAAAAAATCTATCTTAAAAATAATAGATTTTTAATGGTAGTACGTACGTAGTTTTTTTTTGGCTTTATTGTTTTTTTTATAGTAAGTGTGTGTGTATTTTTTTTCCTTACGATGAACAGTAGGTAAGATTATTGATTGTTTTTTAGTCTTTACATACTACGTACGTACCTATATATGGATATATGGAGTACATGTGCTTTGTTTTCTTTTTTCTGGTGAACAGTAAGGTATTTCTTTCTTTTTAAATATATAATACATCTAATCTAATCTAATGGTCTAAATTATTGGGTCCACCGATTAAGTGAAAATCGACGATGTAATTAGACATTGCCACGTGGCGGTCTAGGAGCGTTTGTAGGAGTGCCACGTGGCGGCTTGAGAGCGTTTATAGGAAGTTTAATGGACTTTTATTTAGTATATATATATAATAGATAGAAGATAGATAGATATAAGTAAACCAAAACAAAGAAAATTCGTCCCTGGCCACCTCACCCGGCCATGACCCACATACGCCTCGATCGATCGAAATTCCGATGAAGCTTCTTCCCTTCCATCTTGATGTCCCGGATTCATCCGCACCTGGTCAGTAATATCGAATTATCGATCATCATCCCGGTCGATCGATCGATAGCAACCGCCGATCAGGGTGGTATAAATTCTATACGGCTCCGCTAGCTAGCTAGCTTGCCTCGCGCTCGCTTCCAAAAATTAATTAACCACAAAATTAATTAAGTAGCTAGACAACCACAGCCGCCGTGGCCGGTGCGTTCTGATCCACCGCGCGATGGCTGCCGAGGATAACATCACTGGCAGCGGCAGCGGCAATGGCAGCAGCAGCAACGACGACCATGCGCCGCCGCCGCCGCAGCAGCTCGCCGTTGCCCGCGGACGGCGGCGTGCTGAACCGCCGATGCGCCTCTCCGCGCTGTACCTCATGCTGTTCGGGGCGACCGTGATCGTTGGCGCCGCGGGCGTCGGGGCGCCCGTGACGCCGCTGCCACGGCTGTTCGCGGCGCTCGTGGCCTGGCTCGTCGGCTGCCTCTCGCTGCTCGTCCCGCTCCCGCCGCCGTGACGACATGGCCGGTCGCGAGCGCTGGCGCCACGCCGGCCGGGCGCGCGCGCATACCAATCGCGCGTTATTGGCTATCGATTGATCGATCGTTTCCTCGATATACGCACGATCATTCTATATCGTACGTAAGCCGCGCGGTGAGGTACCGTACGTTTAAGGAGAGGACTATGGGTCGGACGTCCGGACGATGTTGCACTATACGTTAAAAAATGTTACAATGTTTCATTACTCGAAAAAAAATATTTCAACATAAATTGTTCTGGATGTTTCATCTTTCACTAAATAATGTTTCACCGTTTTATCGAAAATGTTTCAATCGAATGCAACACTCAAAGAACACTGCCTGCAACAACAAAAACACAATATGTGAAACATCCAAAGAAATCAAATGCAACATCCACAGTACTGAGAAACATCTAAAAAGACAAATTGCAACATCACGAATACACTATGTGCAAAAAAAAAAAAAAAAAACGTGTGTGCAACAATCATGCGCAGCATCCTCCTCACCTCTTCCTCCTCCTCGTCCCACACCTCCGACAGGTGCGGCCTCCTCAGCGTTGAGGAGGACGAGGAGGCGCCGGTCGGAGCAAAGCCGATCCGGCGACCGGCTGCTTCCTCCTCGGCGGAAGCCACCGCGAAGGCCGGGGCCTTTCTGGCGTCGTCCTCATCCGAGCGCTGCCGCCGAAGCCCACTCACGATGGAGACGAGCTCGGCGTCCACGTCGTCCTCGGAGAAGGTGAACCCGAAGTCCTGCAACTTCAGCTCCAACGACATGCTCCGCCGCCGCCGCCGCCACCTCCTCCCCGACCGCCGCAACGCCGCCCTCCTCCGCTCCAGCACTGCCGCTGCCGCCGCCGCCTCCCCCGGCCGCCGCAACGTCGCCCTCCTCCGCTCCGGCACCGTCGCCGCCTCGTCGCTCTGCATACACTCGCTTCCTCTCGTTGCTAGGTGAGAGAGAAAAGGGGAATGGTGGAGAGAAGAAGACAGAGAAAGGGGGAAAGTGGGTGGGGAGAGAAGATAGGGGAGAGTGCTGGCATCGGACGCCCGATTTAAAGCGTTTTCGTACGTTTTCTCCTCCACGGAATTTCAGCTCTCGATCGACTAAGTAATTAACCCGCTATATATCAAATGCCGCGTAAAGGTACAAGCTTGGCGAAAATTTAAACTCTGTGAAAGGAATAGGTATGTTAATTGTCTAAAAGAATAGGTTTATGCTCAAAATTTAACTATTTAATTTGCTGGCTTGTCGGGTGTTTTGGGTTAGGCAACAGGGGGGTAATTCTTAATTTGGACCTGGCAAAGGGCGCCAAACTAACAATAATACAAGATCACAATTAAGACGGAGAAAAAGTGCTTTAAGTAACTTTACCTAAAAAAACGTTTTAAACCCAATAGAGCGTGGGAAGAAGGTGGAGTTGCGAGTTCATGATTCTACCTTAAATCTTAACACCCACAAAATAGGGCTTTATGTGTATCTCTGTTCTCTAGTTAGTTTACTAGACAAAAGTTATACTTTTCTCTACTGCTGTAAAGAGTAGAGTCGTCATTCTCTTCTCCAACCATATTAGCCACCACATAAGAAAACAATGTTTCCACGAAAAAATAATCAAAAATTAATAAAACGGAGAGATTTTTTTTTTTTTAGAAACTGAGAGATAAAACTGAAACCAATAAAACCATTCACCCATAGTTCTCCTAACCCCGTTGCAAAAGCACGGGTATGAAAAAGAGCTCCTAGGGTATGTGCTATATCATTCTCCTGCGTGATAGTTATGAAAAGATTGAACTATGGAATGGGCAAAATTTTATTTTAGTACAATGGCTACTCTCCATTCTAGTGCAAATCAGAGTTTTCATAGACATGTCGTTTTTCCCCTTCCAAAAACTGAGGGCTTTTTGGTGTATTTCTGCGGTGTCTGTTGGCTCTTAATTTATTAAGTATTTTCGCCGACATCAACGTTAGTCTGCAGCTATAAATTAAAACTCTATATTTAATTAAAAAAAAAGTTGGACCGTATCTTCTTTAGTTTGTTTCTTCTTCAGTTTGATCTTTAAGTTCTATCGATGTAACGAGCAAGATATTCTATGTATGCCATTAACAAAAATTAATGGCTTGTTCCTATATATTTTTCAAAGATGGCTTGGGTTGACTTAGCAATACAAGGCTACATGGCTTATCGTTATTCTTACAGTGCGATGATCAGTGGCAAAGCCAATGCCCAACCACCATGGGCAGTTGCCCAGCACATGATAAGAGGGCGGACAAGCTGCATCGTTGTGGTGTTTTGAACGGCTGTTTTGAACGATGCCGGTGGCTAGCCGTACAGTGGAGTTTGCAGAACTGGATTTTTTTTTATTTTAGTTCTTTTAAAAAAAACTTATTTATAAATAGGTATATGGAAAAACTTATTTTAGAAATACACCCTTTTCTCAGCGTTAGGGTCATTGGCGCTGACAAATGTCTTGACGCTAATGACATTGGTGCCAACACTCTTACCTCTTATCCCTTGGGAAGCTAAGTCACTAATGTGAGGGGTCGATGCCAATAACATTGTGCCGAGGATCTATTTGTAAAAAAATTCAGAAAAATTGAAATATAAATGATTTTTTATAAATAGATCCTCAATATCAATGAATTAACACCAAATACCTTTTTGCAAGAAAAATCGGTTGAATGCCATTGGTGACGACCGCAGTGACTTAGCTTCGCTTCCGTAGGAGGCGAGGGTGTGGTCGGCCTTGACGTCTGGGTCACTAGCACCAGAAAAATGTCCGTTCTTGGAATAAGACTTTTTGAAGGGTCCAAAAATATTTTTTTAAAAAAGACTAAAATGTAAAAAGGTGCAGGTTTGGGCAAGTTGTAAAAGAATTTACTCCGTCTATGCCGAGACGTCCTCCTCCGTTGCCGCCGACACTTTTGTTTAAACCCCACGGGATATATTTATATTAAAGTAGAGGGAAACGCTGTACAATAGCCATGAAGGCTAGGAGGTTACAACGAAAAGAGTAAAAAGAAAGCGGTTATTGGGGGGGGGGTGTGAACCCAAAAAGGAGGCGTGCGGATTATTATTACGAAAATAGATGCACAACGGAGACGAATTTTACGTGGAAAACCATTGTGGTAAAAAACCACGAGCATCAAACCGGCAATTATCAGTATTGATGAGTTGATTACAAATGTAGAGGAATAACAATAGTAACGTCACCCTTTTTTACAGCTTACAACAAGAGTGTATGTGTGTGTGTGTGTATATATATATATATATATATATATATATATATATATATATATATATATATATATATATATATATATATATCTACTACTACTTATAAAAAATAAAAAATAAAAGAAATTTCCATCGTCCGTTTGGGAAAAAAAAAGCGAGAAAAACAAAAAAGAGGAAAGAAACATCAATCGGCAAAAAAAAAAAGTCCGACACCTCTGTTAGAAAAAAAAGGAGAGAAAAAACAAAAAACGAAGAGAAAAAAAAATGGACGTCCGACTCCCCTGTGGAGAAAAAAAAAAGAGAAAAAACTTCTACCGTGAAAAAAAAGAAAAAAAACGTCGACTCCTTGAGAAAAGCTACGACTACCAAAAAAAAATTATCGTCCGTAATCTTCTCTTCCACTTATACTACTTTACTTTTTAAAAATATATAATATAAAAATTGAAGATGTTTTTGCCGGTACTTTGATACGTCATTCATGTATAGGTCGGTTTTTAAATTTGTTCGCTTTTAGAAATACAGATCCGTATTTGAGTCAGTTTTTAAGTTTGTTCGCTTTTAAAAATATATAAGGAATCCTATAAGAAATCATTTTTAAAAAGTTGCATGTTAATTTGAGACGATCGAACTCCTAATTGCGATTGCAGCTCATGATTTTCTAACAAAATATATATCCAAGCGAAATTAAAACGATGAATTTCATCTTAACTAAACCATATCTATATAACTAATATAAATATTCGTATTTTTCCTTTCGTCACATCTAATTTCATGTTAACTAAACCATATCTATATAACTAATATAAATATTCGTATTTTTCCTTTCGTCACATCTAATTTTCGTCCTGTTCGTACGCAATCCGTCTCAGTTAGCAATAGCCATGGAAAAAATTGCAAAAAAAAAAAAACGGTGGCCGCCAACGCCACCACTGCCGCTGGAGGGAGAAGAGAGGCGGCGGAGGGAGCCACCGCTGCAGGATCCGCCACCGCTGACGGATTCACCCGCGGACGAAGCCGACGCCGTCGTCGCTATCGACGCCGCCGTTGAGAGGGCGCCATCGCCGTCGAGGCCGACGGGGAGAGGGAGAGGGGGAGTGGGAGGGACAACCGTCGCCGCTGTCTCCGGCGCACCCCGTCGTCGCTGCGCCGTGCCAGAGAGAGATGGTGCCGGTGGCGGGGGAGGCGGCCGGCATGGGAGAGGGGAAGAGGCGGGAGATGGGGAGAGGGAGCGGCGCCGCCGGAGGGGAGGGGAGAAGAAGCGGCGCCGGTGGGGAGAGGGGGAGGGGGAGAGGCGGCATCGTGGGCAGGGGAGGCGGCCGGCTGGGGGGAGGGGGAGAGGCGGGAGATGGGGAGAGGGAACGGCGCCGATGGAGGGGAGGGGAGGGGAAGCGGCGCCGATGGGGAGACGGGGAGGGGGAGAGGCGGCGTCGGGTGCGGGGTTGGCGGCGGGCTCGGGTAGGGGGGAGGGGGAGGGTTAGGGTTATGGTTTTCATCAATTTCTAACTGATCTGAGCCGTCCATCAAAACGAACGGCTCAAATCGATCGAGGGTTTGGGCCGCACGCGGGCCGGTGGTCCAGCAAGTGAGATGAGGAGTATGGGGTATTAAGTAGACTTTTACGCTTGCGGGCTAAAGAAGAAAATGGGTTGAAAAAGGCCCATAGAGAAAAATGATTTTTATTTAAATAAATGCTGAAATGATATTTGTATTATCAAAATTACCAATTAAGCTATGTAAATTCCAAGAAAATTTCAAAGAGTGTAATTAATATAGAAAATTTAACAAAAATTAAATCCAACCATCATATTTTATTTCTCACACTTAATTTACTTGAAAATTAATTTAATTATATACCTACCAACATAAAAATACCCTAATATTCCAGAAAATGTGTATTTCATTTAATTAGAATTTAATATGTTTTAATTTAACTGTTGTTTTTTTCCTTTCTGTTGCAACGCACAGGCACTTTTGCTAAAATTTCAAAGTGTGTAATTAATATTGTAGAAAATTTATTTTTCATTAAATTAGAATTTAATATGTTTTAATTTAATTTTCTCATTTTTTCTTTCCGTTGCAACGCACGGGCACTTTTGCTAAACCAAACAACACTTTTGGTTAATATATACACTCCGTAATCACCCGGTGCAATGCTCGGGCACTTTTGCTAATGTGTGTGTGTATATATATATATATATATATAAAAGAAAAACACCTAGTAGGAAAACACATGTTTTACTAGAAAATTAATCCGAATATGTTGTAGACCTAAATTAAGATCACATATTTAACAGTCAACCTGAGCTACACATACACGATGCAGCTCTGTCACAGGTTCAGCATCTACACCACATCAACATCAATCGTCGTCGTCGGAGTGGATCGCTGATGACACACGAGGACTGTGGCAAGACGAAAACGACGGAGAACTTTTTACGGTACATTATACTGTCAGTATATACTAGCAGTATTTGTAAGAGCATGTTAGGAATTTGGCAAAAAATTAGGAAGTATTTTTTAGTAATTTTATGGTTCAGAGTTAATCCAATCCTATTAATTAGTACTCGTTCGCCTGCGCTGTTGGTTCTCATACGTGCGCCTGCGCGATTCCATGGCAACGGCGCCAGCGTGATTCGACAGAGAATAGGCGCGCAACGGCGATTCCCGTTCAGCACTTCAGCTGCTACCGCGTCCCTTGCATCTTGCTACTGTGTTCACGAGAGACTAGGCGCGTGTGGCGGTATCAAATACTACATAGTACAGTAGATAGTTAGCTTTGTCAGTGTTAAAGTGTTAATGTTTGATCTCTAC